GTTAATTGCTTCTTTTTAAAATCCAAGTGATTGATTAAACTTATATAATATGCCATAAATTTATTAAGTGTTTCTATATAAAGTACAGTATAGGTACTACCAAACATAAAATAAACTCAATACCCAAGAGTTGTGCCTCACATAAGAGCAATAATCATTTCAATTAAGAAATGTGACTACTACTGTACAGACATGCCTATTTTCTTCATGGTAAATACTGCATATATTTTATGGCAGGGCAAGTCATAATTACGTACTCAAAATATGCCCCCATCAAAGCTAACTTTACTTAAATTTTTTTTTAAAGGGTATGATGAAAGAGATAGGAACGGAGCATTTTCATAATTTATGTAAAGTATTAATACAGTTATTAGTACCAAAAACTATTTCAGAAAAAAACAGGTTTTGAGTATAGGTGAAAAATGCCTTCGTGAACAAGTCACTCGATTCCTTCCTAGGGTAAGAGTTCAGCATCTAATATAAAGCTGTAACATGGTCATGATGACATTCTGGTACCATTGCTGTGGGAAACTTTTCAAGCAGTTCCTACAGGGTTATAATGGTGTTAAGAAACCACTAGAGAATACTGTACTAGCCAGCTAGAATGCCCACTAGAGAGGCACTAATTAAACAAACTTGAAGGTCTTTCAAGAACTCATTGGGAAGGAGCCATCTCACAGAATTACTGATATGACACTGCATCAGGGGAGACATCGGACAGTAAGAAAGGGGTTGGGACCAACCAAATGACTCTCTCAGAAAGGTGACGTTTCACATACAGTACGCTACAGTAGGTTCATCTCTACAGTACTGTATTGGTGAACCATTGTTAATTTTTTACAGGTAACCTGTTTATCTGCTGAAAATTTGATCTGGGTAAATCATCTGCTTTGGATCCCTACAAAAGGAAAAAACGTTGTTTGTACCGGTACCAGATCATGGCACTCATTTTCATACAGTATTTCTTAAAACAAAATAACCATACCAAAATGTTTTACTGTATAATTAATTATTATTATTCAAATTGAAAAAAATGTAAATTAATTCCTGTACAGTTAGTGTTAATTTGATTACCTATTTTGAGGTGTACAGAGCTCTGATTTGGGTGATCTGAAGTAGACACATCCGCTCATTGTGGACCAAGCCACACGTTTTCTACGCATGTTACACCACAAATGATCGTTCAAAATTTCAAGTATTTTTCTATTTTTTTTAAGTTAATATCCATTAATTTAACTAGAAAAGATGACTATCAGCAGCATTAGTTATGCTGAAGAAGCAAGAAAATAAGATGCTAAATAATGAAGAAAACCTGAAAATGTTGCTGAAATGACTAAGAAACCAACATGTCAAACATGCTTCCAAGTTAGTCTTGGTATTTATATTGTACTTCAAATAGGAAAACTCTTAAAACTAAGGATAAAATCTTATAAAATTAGCATTTAAGTAGTTTACCAAGTGACATTAGTACTCTAGGTACTGTACTGTAATTGGAGAGACATGCCTAATTGCTGTATAGAAATTTGCTGTTACCTTGGGGATTCTGACTTCAAGGTTAGTACAGCTTAACTTAATATACAGTATTTAAGAAAAACTCTGCCATTTGTTCTAGGAAGAGTCATAACGAGAATATTAAACAAATTGTCATGGAGCATAAACTGTTAAATTTATTCTAAATGTATAATGCTAATGAGACTAGATTTAAATGGAAACATTTGCCAAGTAAGACTTTGGCAAGACATGGTGGGCCAGATCCAGCTGGAATTGAGGCCAGACCCAGCTGGTATGCAGGGGGGTCTGCCTGAAAAGTTCTCCATGGTACTGATACCAGAATGCCTTCCTGACCATGTTACAGTTTGCCAGACCATGTTACAGTTCTTACCGAGACAGTGATATACTGTACCTTAAGTAGCAACAGAGAAACTATTGCTCATAAAATAGGACACAGTATCTGATAACTTCAAGTCATAAAGCTAGAATATCAAGGATATCCATTCTCTAAATTAATGATTGCCTGTACTGTTCAGTCAAATATACAGTACATACATACAAAGATAATCACTACCTTATTCCCTAATTTCACAGGATGAGGGAGGCTCGGCACACACGGGGGGGAAAAAAAAGGGGGCAAAAATATAGAAAAAGTTAGATAAAATAATATAACTGGTTCACACATTGTACCAATTACACTACACTATGATACAGTACAGTACTGCTATATAGCATTATAGATAAGCACCACCACATTCTAGCACGTATCCACAGAAACACACTATCGCTCCAGCAGTACAAATGTACATTGCTCATTGTGAAGTGTCACACGCTGTAAAGTTCAAACAATACATTCACTCTTTCCTTACAATCTACTGTACTTCCATCCCAAGTACTGTTCACCCTCAATCTCACACACTTACCATGCTCACCCATATTCATCTCTGCCTTCCTTTCTTCTGGTTTTCAAATTCACTTTTTTTTTTTTTTATGTTAGCAATCTACTATCATCCATTTATTCAATATGTCTAAACCATCTAAATACTCTTTCCTCAATCTTGCAGCTTATAGATTTTTGCACCGTACAATTATCCTTGACACAACACGTGCTTCTTAAGACTCAATTTCTGCTGCTCAAATTCTTGATTTTTCTATTACACAGCTCACTATCTTGTATCTGTAAATGCACATCAGCACACACTATCATTCAAACCTCTAGCTGCATCTCTTCCTATCTTGTTTTTAAACATTGCACCAGCCACTCTCCTCTTTGGACTCGCCTTACTTTTAATTTCAGTTGCACAAAATTCTCTTTTTATTAGTCACACATCCAAGGTATTGGAACTGATCGACCACTTCAACCACTTTGCCATTCATATTTATTTCACATACACAATTTTATTATCTTCATCATAATGACATACTTTGTTCACATTCGCTGTCATCTGCAAACATAAAAATTTACATGCTCCAATTACTTAAATTTGGACTACTGTATACACTAGATTTCTAGTGTATTTATTCCTTTTCTCTAGGATTTTAACTATGACCACCCTAATGATATTAGACATGTATACATGTATTAAACAAGCAAAACAAGGTGGTACCACCACAGCCCAACATGTTGTTGGGCACCACCACAATTGAGAGGTGGGACCAAAGAGCCAGAGCTCAACCCCCACAAGCACAACTAGGTGAGTACAGTCCTGGCAAATACCTACAATAATAGCAAACCAGTCACTCCTTAAAAACTTTTACACATACACTTCAGTGGTCAGTGCAGTCATGCCAGAACTAAAAGGTCCCGCGTTTGATTCCCACGGCAGAACAAACATTTGGGAATGTTTCTTTTCACCTGATACCGCTATTTACCTAGCGCAAATTGGAATCTGGGAGTTAGGAAAGTGTTATAGGTGGCATCATGGAGAAGGTTAATAGTTAGCCTAGGGGGGGGGGGGGGGGGACCTTGATAAACTTAGCAGGCTTTCTGTCTCTGCCAAAGGGAAACCACTTAACAGAACTTGGCTAACTTCTTATGTTATCACTTTCTTATAATACAGTACTCATACAAAATATAGGAATACCTTGGGCAAAGTAGCTTGAGTTATAAAGCATTAGTTTTATAAATTATTAAATATAAATGATTAAAACTAACAGTGAGTTAGGTTACTATGAAAACAAAACTTGTAACATTCTATGTACTGTAGTTAGTGGTTTAAAGAAAGCAATATTAGCATAGGGACACTGAGGTAATGAACATTATTTTATTGGGGTAACCTTGCACTAGTAAAGCCAAACCAAGCATGACGATTTGTGCGTGTCAGTATGTTTACCCAGATTGCGTACACACAATGCGTGTGTGTGTTTATACAATATACAATACAGTATATTTTTGCATAATGTGTGTACAAAGTATGTCTACATGTGCAATTGCCTAAGTGTAGTTACAGGATGAGAGCTATGCTTGTGGTGTCCCATCTTCCCAGAACTCTTTATTGTATCACATTTGGAAACTACTGTAATGTACTGATGGTTTTGGCCTCCACCACCTTCTCATTTAACTTGCTCCAACCATCTACCACTCCATTTGCAAAAATCTTTCTAATATTTTTTGGGCACCTTTGTTTCCTTAGCTTGAATCTTGAATCTTAGCTACGAATCTTGTTCTTGAAGTTGCTGGTTTCAGGAATTCCTCTCTCAATTTGGCAGATTCCTGTTAGTATTTTGTAAGTGGTGATCATATTGCCTCTTTTTTCTTCTATCTTCTAGTTTTGGCATGTATAACGCCTCTAGTTTCTCCTATTATCTCGTTTTTCAGTTCCGGAAGCCTTTTTTGCAGCATGCTTTTGACTTTTCCAGTTTATGTGCTTCTTGAGATATGGGCATCGTACAACTGTTGCATACTCCAATTTTGGTCTCACAAACTTCATGAAGTTTCTTTAGTATTTCACCATCCATGTAATTAAAAGCGATTCTGAAGTTGGAAAGCGACACATATGCTCCTCGCACAATGTTCTTTGTGTCCCTTTGGTGACAGTGCTCTCCTAAATGGGCTTGCAGGGCCGAGAGCTAACTCCTGAGCTCTGCCTCATAACTTGTCGGTTATCTAATACAGTGGCTTCTTTTGTTTCTTCTTGTAACTGCATTTAAACTATTAGTTGACTTTTAAATTCTACTATTTCTCCATTTAGTCATTTCCATTTGTTTACAACTCTTACACTAAAACAGCTAATTTTTAACATCATTGAGACTCGCCTACACCTAAAGTTTCCATCCATGTCCTTTTGCTCTGCCTTGTCTTTTACTGAACATTTCCATTTAGCAACCTAATTGATTCCCATAAAAATTGTATTTCCCAAAAATCTATGTTATCATGTCTTCTTGATTCTGTCTTCAAGTGTTATGAGGTTTAATCCCCTTACTCTTTCCTCATAGTTAAATCCTCAAAGTTCTGATAACAGTCTCACTGCATACTTCTGGATATTTTCTAGTTTGCTTTTATGCTTTAAGTGGGAGATCGACTGGAGGTGGCATACACCAGAATGGGTCTAACATACACAGTGTACACTGCTCTCTGAAGGCCTCCTTTTTAGAGTGGGCCTAAATACGTTTCTATGTTTGCTAGTTTCACAAATCTCCTGGAACCGCCTTCCCGCCGAAGCCATAAACGGCAAAACTATGCTGGGGTTTAAAATACAGCTAGAAAAGATCATCAGGGCAAATAGGGTTGGGGGGGGAGGGGGACCTTTGTCAAGCAGCCAGCTTCCTGTCCTTGTCGAGACTACCCTCAGGTAAATGTGCTGTTGATGATATCCTATTTATATGAAAGCCTCTGCAGCTAGATTAGAGGTTATATTAATTTCCAGACTGTTCTCTGTTACAGTGTCATCTTTCTTTTATTTCACATTATTCAATGGGGCTTTCAAATACCACCCCAATTCTAATTATCTTGCATTTATTAGGGGTTGAAGTCTAATAGTCATTTCTCCAACCATCCCTGAAGTTTATCCAGGTTGTCCAACAGCTTCTTTACGGTCCTGTGTTTTGACTCTTCTTCAGTTTTCGCATTGTGTGTGAATGTGCATGAGCATGCTTGTGTATGAGCATTCATAGGAATGTGTGTGCATGAGCATACATTTGAATGTGTGAGAGCATGCATATAAATGTGCCTGTTTTTTGTGCAAACAGTATATCCTTCTGAGCTTGACGGTTTGTGCCAAGTAATCTCAAATTAACCAGCTTACAGTCAGCCCTTGATGTGCACAAGTTCAGTATGTTTGAAATTTGCTTTGCAAGAAGTAGGCATTTAACACCAAAATTTGCTATGCAAAAGGCATAGTTTGCTTAGTGCAAGGTTTCCATTTCTTATATGCAATTTTCTGCATTACATTCTTGCACTGGTACTATGCTAACGTTCTGCATCCAAAGTTACCTCTACGACTAAATTACAATGTTTACGATTGTCTACACCTCTGACAAGCATTCAGAGCTACTTTACACGGTAGTGTATATCTGTGGCTGGAAGGTGGCAGTGCTTAATAATATTGCTCAGAAGAAGGGGAGAAGGAAGGAGCGAGCAGTCCTTGAGAATCTCTGGGATGCATCTATTTTTCCCATATAAAGTTTGCGTAAACGTGCTCGAGCCGAGACTTTCCCAGAATGCATCCCTTATGCAGACCAAGGGCCGACTGTACTGAATTATCCATACAATCATTCCTATCACATTGATGAAATGTACCTGTGCTGTAACTTGCATTTACTTGCCTTCCAGTAATGGCCACAAAATTTGTTTGAAATGCCTAAATTTCCTGTAAGTTAAATTGACTCCTTAAAAGAAAATAAGTTGACTTTGGGCAAACAGATAAATCTAGGCATCCAACGAATGCCAAATTAAGGGGGTTGCATTGGATGTTTTATTAGTGCCTAAACAAATCTCATCTATAAACACACACTAAACCAGGCTGGGCAAGCAATAGTAGGGTGATTTACTTCAGTTGAGGAGCTAAGTATGCTGGTGTACTGGACCTCTCAAGAGAGTGGTGGGCTAGTACTGAAAATAAAGGAAATGATAGTTTAAGCACTTAAATATTGTTTCAAATTATATCTTCTACATTAAAAATATTAAAATAATTGTTCCCTAAATAAACTGAATAAAAAAAAAGATCGAGAAAAATTGTGTGCGCGCTTGTGTGTGTGCAGGCGTGTGTATTCACCTAGTTGTGCTTGCGGGGGTTGAGCTCTGCTCTTTCGGCCCGCCTCTCAGCCATCAATCAACTGTTACTACTATTTTATTTTTCACACACACACACACACACACACACACACACACATACATCCCAAGGAAGCTGCCCGTAACAGCTGTCTAACTCCCAATTACCTATTTACTGCTAGGTAACAGGGGCATCAGGGTGAAAGAAACCCTGCCCATTTTGTTTCTGCCAACACCGGGATCAAACCCGGACTCTAGGATTACGAGTCTAGAGCACTGTCCACTCAGTTATCAGGCCCCGTGTGTACTTACCTAGTTGTTGTACTCACCTAGTTGTGCTGCAGGGGATGAGCTTTGGCTCTTTGGTCCCACCTCTCAACCATCAACAAACTGGTGTACAGGTTCCTAAGCCTATTGGGCTCTATCATATCTACATTTTAAACTAAGTATAGAGTCTTCCTCCACCATGTCACTTCCTAGTGTAATCCATTTGTTAACTACCCTGACACTGAACAAATTTTTTCTAATGTCTGACTCATTTGAGTAGCAAGTTTCCACCTGTGTCCCCTTGTTCATGTTTCACCCATGCTAAATTGTTTATCTTCATCAATTCGTTCAATTCTCAAGAATTCTGTAGGTGGTGAGCATGTCACCACTATCTCTTCTATCTTCCAGGGACGTGATGTTTAATTCTCATAACCTTTCCTCATAACTCATACTTCTCGGCTCTGGGACTAGTCTGGTGGCATACCTCTGAATCTTCACTAAATTTGTGCACACTGTGTGTGCACATGTGGTATTAAAGGTAATGTTTTAACAAGTAAATCCACCAAATGTGAAATGCCTAAGAAATAAATGCTCTAGATAAATTTTATTTTACCTTATTCTCATTTATAATAACCTATTTAATAAAAATTAACATTCACAAAAGCATACACATGTCTTTCTATAGTACAGTACCAGTATTTTTTGTGCCACTGAAAATTCCAACTTTTGCTATACTATATTTCAATACTATTCACTTCCTGGAAATATTCGTGTTTATGTCGATCACATGTACATTATCCTTTAATTTACTTTTACCACTTTTTAATAACAATATTCCTATCTTTAGCTATCTGGGATTCCCTAACTTCTCACATATCGAACAGGAAATTGTACAGAACATGTAACAAATCCACAGACAAGCAAATGATGTGTATACAAAGAGTCAATATGTAAAAATTTGTCATGTTACATAGGACAGTGATAAAATATCCTTAAAACTGAATTCACAAAATACTGTTCATCTAGACCCCAAATAATAATAAAGAAAATATCCAGAATATAATAACTTTCCTCATACGCATGGAAAAAATCGCACGAACACATCTAGCTATACAGTACAGTATATTATAGTGCTGTACAGGTTCAAAAGAAAATAGCAAATGTAGATAATTACTTGTAGATAAAACTTTACAAAAGAAAATTACTTTTCTTTTATTAGTGGCCTAAGGAAAAAAAATTGCGCTGCGTTGAATGTAATGAAACGCCATTTTCTGGGTGAAACCCGGAGGCTTCTTGGAGCTATCCAGGCTGATATTGCTAATGTCAGATTTTGGTATCAGTCATGTATATGGAGTGCTTTGGGCCTATCGGGGACCACGAGCCAGAACCTGGCTCCCCTCAGAGAGGCGCAAAGATGAATAGCCTATTGAAACCCCCCGTGTGGTTGGAAGCATTCTATGTCTGCCATCGACCGGGTCAGGCACCCAGAAAGATAGGCACCCCAAAACAAACCCCCATTTTGGTGAAAATTGCTACAAAAAGCCAAACTAGTGGACAGAACTCCATAGACAGAAACTAGCAAATGAGCATGATGTCATACGTCTGAGCACCACTGTCTGCGTAGCTCCCACCTCCCCAGGCCGACCCAGCTGTAACAGCCAGATGGAAGGGGAGTCCACTGGGGGTTCACTGGTCAGACCGAGACACTTCGGCAGGGAGAATCGACTCAAATGCCTCCGTGGCCACACCAGAAGGGGCATCCCCTGAGACTGTCCGAGTCTCAAGACTATCTAAACCCTGCCCCGACTCCGAAACCCTCAGACATTTCGGGACAGAAAGCGGGGAAGGAAGGGGAGGGGGGGGGGAAGAACAATGGGGCGCAGGCAGAACCAAGGCCAAAGCGACCAACACCCCCAAGTCCGGGTCCCTATAAGCAAAACGGGGCAGCCTTGGGGGATTTGGTGCAGCAACCGACCTAGTGCGTTGTAACAACCTAAAGCTAACATGCAACGCTTGCACTGCCTGTACCCGAATAATGTCATCAGTAGATTAGGTAAACTGAGTCACCAGTAAGCAACAAAACTCGCAGGGGACTGGGTCGAAAGTGTCACCGACCCAACAGGCAGCGTGACGGAGGCAAAAACAATGAGAGTCACCCTGAGACAAGGGAACAGAGTAACCCCTCTGAACTTACACAAAGCGAGGGGGAAAGCAGGGGTCACGTCCATTGGACCCGCGTGTCCCTGTAGGGTTTCCCAGGGTCCTAAGACGTAAGTCACACTCAGGGAAGCCCAGGCAGGGTACTGCTAACTGACGCCCAAGTCTACCAAATAACTTTATAATAGCTGAACCCACAGGACGAGTACAGTCACGGGGACCTAGCAAGGGGGTACCACCCGAATAGATAAGAGCACTCAATGCACAGGGGGGTAATAACCAAAGCAGACTCCCCCCCCCCCCACCAAGCAAGCAAACAAACAAAAACAATAAGAAAACCCCCGCAAAAGGACAGCATACCGAGGCGGAACAGAGCCGGCCGCTATGAATGATGAAAACAAGCTGTGCAGTACCCTGTGCCCCTTACCAGTGCAAACTGCCTCCTACCCTAAGGCGAACAAAGGGAGTCAGAAAACACTACCACACAAAGGGCAGCCAAAAACCAAGCAGCAAACGGCCAAGCAGAGGCAGAACCCATGGAACTTGTGGAAGGTGGCCCCAAGCCCCAAGGGCAGTACTTACCAGGCACCTAGGAAAGGGAACCCTAGGTGCATGCAGCCCGAGTACTGAAGAAATACTCCTGGCTCGCGCATCACCGAAAAGACAGCCACCACACACAAGGCACAGAGCTGAAACAAGTTTGGAGCCAGAGCACACAACCTCTGCCTAGCGCATCAGCCTCAGAACTTGGGTGTGGATTGCAGACGTGACGACGTGTGACGTCATACTTGCTTGCTTGTTTCTGTTTGGGAAGTTCTGTCCACTAGTTCGGCTTTTTGTAGCAATTTTCACCAGAATAGGGATTTGTTTTGAGGCACCAATCTTTCTAGGTGCCTGACCCAGTCGATGACAGTCATAGAATGCTTCCAACCACACGGGGGTTTCTGTAGGCCATTGCTTCTCGCGCCTCTCTGAGGGGGGCCAGGTTCTGGTTCGTGGTTCCCGGTAGGCCCAAAGAACTCCATACATATGACTGATGCTAAAGTCTGACATTAGCAATATCAACCTGGATAGCTCTGGGGAGCCGAAGGGGGCTCTCCCCAGAAAAGGAATGAAAGTTTTGCCAGGTGTCTAGGAAACGCTTCCACATCATGTAACGTGTGACTCAACGTGACCACACACATTTTCTCAACGAGAGATTTTACCACACAAACCTTTCACTCCTTCAAGCTCTCTAACTACTACCATCCCATTCTTGGCATCATATATTGAGCCACTCTTTCCTTCCAAGATTCTGCTTGTCTGCTCCTACCATAAGATGCCTTTATTTCACCCATGTATATCCTTCTCCTTAAATGGTTCTCAGGCTTCCTACCAATATGCCCATACCACCCCTTGGTGAATTCCGCTTCACGCATACTTCATTACCTCGGCAATTTTACTCACACCACATCTCATACCTTGCTATACCCATCCCATGTACTAACCAGCTGCTTTTCTTAAAAAAAAAAAAAAAAAAAAATACACTAGTTAAGATACAGTACCTATTATGTTCAACATTTAGATTTAAGAATTGCATCATCATCAGCCTTCCCAACATACAAGAAAGCCTTTCCCCCTTGCCACAATAAGGTGACATCCATGAGGGAGCATATTAAACTAATTATCACAGCCTCTTTTGAGAAGAAACATACAGATATGACTGCTAATCACGAGATTAAGATGTTTACACCCTCTTTCCTATACTTACAGAAAAAAAAATGCAAAAAACACTTTACTCTATACTACAAAATTTAAGCTCCAGTTTCCTCAGAATGAAAATCTTTATAATCTTACAAATATAAAGACTATTGTTATTAAAAAACGTACTAATTCTGCAATATTTGTCAGCAGCATCTTTTCCATACCACAAACTAAAATAACATAATTCAAGTAGAATCTGTATGCTATACAAGAAAATATTTCCAAGTTACACATGGAATGTTAGTAAATGACAGCAGCTTGTATTGAGAGGTATTAGTAACTAAAAGGGATAAATAATACATAATTTTATTGTTAATCAACAAGGAGATTAGAATAGACAGTAACACTAATGATATTGGGTAAAGAAGCACTACTTTATATTTGCCCAAATGAGCACCAAAATTATTATGTTTATGGTTGGATGTATTCTAAACATTTTTACACCATATAGAGTCTAAAGTTACGTTGAATATGTGATGAAGATAAAACATTTATACACTTTTAACATACATACCATTAGGTGTTAAATCTTCAACACTAAATTCAAAACAAAGAAGAATACATGAAATATTAATTGGCTGATAATCTTTTCAAACTAATTTTATGCAGTAAACCAACAGATCTCATACTACAGTTAACTAGAAACACAGAGATACTCGAACACTGTGTACACA